ACGTGGAGGGGTTGTTAGCGTTGGTGGGTAAAGCGCCACCCATCATCGCAACTGCCCTTACAGCCGCTTTGAATATCCTAGAACCTACCATGGCCTATTCGATATCTATACGGTGGTTCGTGTACCGTGCTGCCTGACGTTTCCGTCGGGGGTGATTTGTCGATGAGCTGCTGTTGTTATTATTGTTACTTGATTGATTCACGTTACCGCCGTGATTGCTTCGGTTGTTTTTATTGTAACGGGGCCATTGCGTATGTTTCGACGTCACCTTGGGTGCTGGCTTATGATGAATGTTACTGTTCGGTGATGTGTCTCTAGATGGTGATTCTGATCCCTAAACCCAACAAAATAAATTAATTACTTCTATTACGAATGCAACCGCTTTTGTAATTTTAAAAGTACGGTAACCGGGAAAATGAATAAAAAAAACAGGCTATCTCACTTTGATTACTTTTTCATTAACAGTTTACACTTTGAAAAAATCTGAATCCTACTTCCAGTGTTTCAATTTTGATAATAAGTTAAATAATTATTTTTTAATTACCTCTGAACTGCCTCCACTGTCGACGCTAGAGGTTGATCCGCTACTGGACAGCGATCGAGGAGCCCTTGTGCTTATGCCGGTTACCTTAGTAAAGGACAGGGCTGGACTAGTAATCGGCGAGTTGAGCATGTGAGAGAACTTTTGTTCGACCATTTTCCGATATCGGACCACTTCATCAGTTACCCGTACTATTCGGCCCAAAATGGAATATTTCGAACAGTCTCTGAACATGTTTAACGCACTTACACTGTTCGACAGAATCACATAAGCGTAATCAAACGCCCTTTTCACCTAAAGAACAACAAAATTAAATAGATTTTGAAAACGATATTTATTATTATATACTGAGTCAAAAGCAAGCACACCCTCGAAGATTTAAAAATATTAATTAAGAATTATGTATTTCTTCAGATAATGAGTCAAACATTAAAATTAATAACTACTTCAACTTCAACTGTTATACAATAAAAATAATTCTAATAATTCCGTAGGTATACTTCTTAAAAATATATTTTTAAACTGAGGAAAAATACATCTAAACGAAATGAAAACGTTGTTAAAAAAATATATCTTAAAAAACCAAAGACATTAAAAATAAATGTTGTACTTGATGTTAAAACCATTTATCATAATACTGAATGAACTTTAAAAATAGAATACATTGTAAAAGTTTCCTTAACAACCGTTGTATTTATTCTTATCAGTTTATTACGTCAAACTTATCATATTTCGCTCAACAAAAACTCGACAACGTAACACTTTATTTCCTGTTTTAATGACACAGATCAGTACTGTGAAGTTGTCTTAAACCATTTTTAAATTCAATGTAATAATATACTGTATTAAATTGAATAGTAGTCAATTTTTAAATGTTGGACATAAATAAAACTAATAACTATGGACATATAATTTATCATTACTTTAATCATAAACTTAGATCGTTCTTGTATATATATTAGAAATTAAAAAAATGATTGAATATAAAATTGGTTGTTACCTATTAAAATGATATTTGCTAGTACTGTTATTTGATAAAAGTCTAAAATTAATAATTAATATTTAATTTCATAATAAGTAGGCCTTATTGAGAGTCTACCTCAAGGGGTGAGTCTTTAGTTTTTTTTTTTTTAATTCATTCTTTATCAAAATGAAATAGTTAACTTGCCTGTAATACTCCATAACTACTCCGACCAATGTCATTTGATGGTTGTAAAGGGTCTTCTATGCACAGCAAGCTCGGTCGGTGTCCATCAACCATATCTTTTTGCATCTCCTCTTTGCTGATGTATCGTCCTCCATCCCGTATTCGAATTCCCGTTTGCATATAATTGAACTTTCGACCATAAAGTTCAAAGAATTCAATAAGAAGTACTCCGAGATTCGCCTTTACAAGCTGACTTTCAGGTCGATGATGTAATTGAAGAAAACTTATACACATTAAAATTAAACTATAACTAGATATTCCACCTGTAAACACTTCATTTAGGTCTCTTTCAAGAAGAAACTGTTTTAAAACATAAACTAATTTGGATAACACTGGGAATTGATGCATATAGCGTTTTATGAGCTCCGCTGATTTAACACCATTGCTCATATTGAATGAAATGTCCACTTTGACTTCTGTTTTTTTATCTGTAAGCTTAATGATTGGCACTGAGGCTTTGTCCAATACTTTTATACTATTTTCATCTGCAATGTCTTTATCTAAAAATTCTTTTTCTAATGTGCGCAAAGGTAAATTTGACCATTTACCTATAAAAAGAAGTGCTATTAGATTACAGCAATTTCCATATTAATATTCATTACATCAAAACAAAATTATTTAACATTCATTCATTCATTTATTTTCTTTTTTATGCCACTAATACTGATGTATTAAATTGATGAGTAATTTAAAAAACAAATACCTATTACTACTAGATCAATATCACTTGTTGGTAGATAAAGTCCAGTACGGTAGGACCCAAAAACTTGTACTTGAGCGTCTGGCCAAAGAGAAAGAATAATTTGTTCAATTCGACGAATTACATCTCCACGTACTCTATGCTCTACAGGTGTTGGTGACATATGTTCGTAAAAATGTTCAATTTCTTCATGTAAGCTAAAAAAAGAAACAATATATTATGTGTACAAGCTATACTTTCAAAGTGTAAATTAAATTGGACATAAAGAATGACCTAATTTCTGTATACCATTTTATGTAAAATAACATATATGTATAAAAACCAAATGGAACATACAAAAAGATTCCGCATATATATTTGTTTTTAATTAAAAGTTCACATAATTTTGTAATAGGTAATTTAACAAATGTCAAAGTCGTGTTAAGGCCATCTCATGACAAATAGTAGAATTGATATATGTACATTTTTCCGATCAAGTTATTTCCAAAAATTAAAACTATAATTTACGTACCCAATTATTCCTCTTCCATACGGATAATTCTCAATTCTCCACGGGGTGCCCCCATATTCACCAACTACTTTATCCGGATGGCGCATCATACCTTTGGTACTCGCGCGGTTCTCGAACTTACGTCTTCTAGGGACTAAACTATTATTTTTATCATTCTTGCCATTCAAAACACTTATGTTTGTCAGATTCTGGGAATTTACACTATTGCCAAAAGATTCGATGTCACTATCACCTTCTTTTAAGTTCATACTATCGAATTCCAACTGAGTTTGCCACAAACGAAGCCACAAATGTTTAGCTGGACCTTCTTGTTCTGGTTGGAACCAAGATAACGAAGGATCCATTCAAATAATGCTCAACAATTATTACAAATTAATAATCATTGAGATGTCTGTTTATCCACTTTTGCTGTTTTCAAAGACAACCACAAAATCACGCCGAAGTCACACCTCGTAAAAATCACACGGTTCTTCTCTGCCTGCCCAAAGTCACAAATGACAGGTTATCTTTCCACCCGCTAGATTGCGGCGTTGTATGTGGCCATAATATCGTCAAATTTAAATCCTGAAGTAACGCTCTTATGAAAAATTTAATCGATACTAAGTAATTTTATTATTTAACAATCACTTCAAAATAATTTTTCTAATTAAATTCCTTCAAATCTGACAGAATTAAAGCAATAAATAATGTCAAAATACTCTGTATCTATAAAGAAATCGATAAAATGTTGATTATAACAATTCTCAATACAATAAAATTTTTACACTTGTGCATGTTTATATTTCGCACTTTTTTAGGGCGCCGGCGTTTACTTTCTAAGAAAAAATAAAATTAAGTTTGTAGTTTATACGTCAGCTAATATAATAAAATTCAATGAGATGATGTAATAAATAAAATAGAACCTTCGTCATCCGTACACGTCATTTCTTTTCCGAAATTCCTTACAATTGAAAAATTTGGATTTATAATGCTAATGTTATCTGAGAGTAGTGACAAAGGTATGAAGACCCGGTCCGCCGTACAATTTAGAAAATAAATTACATTTCACATTCATTTTTATGAAAGCTGTATAAGTTCCTTAATTCTATTTATTTTGTGTTCCTATTTGTTTTTTAAGTAGTACCAAAAATAAACGCAAGTATATATATTTGAAACAAAATAATAAATAATATTTATTTCTGTTAATATTTTGAGATATTTAATTTCAATAATAATATGAATTGAACATAAATANAATAATAATAGTACAATGAAGTATTATTGAAGAAATTCAAAGGACATTTTAGAACAGAATCAGAAACTGTATTTGTTAATTTACATTTTATATTAATAGTTACACAGAAGATTTAATTAGGTAAAAGTAGGAGAGTAGAGGATGCTATAGTAGTTAATAAGGAAAAGGAGTGATCAAATTGAAGGGCATCCGAGACATGAAAGGCTGGTTAGAAACATATTATATGCAGAAACAGGAGTAAAGAGAGACAAGAAGAGGGAAAACAGAATAGTAAGGAGTGAAGCTACATATTCAACCAGTCTTCAAACTGGATCTCTGGAGAGTCAATAGTTATTCAATATTTAAAAGAAGAATCAATTTAAAATTTTTTACACATTATTACTCTCTTGTAAAAAGATGTCAGCTTCTCCTGATAAATTTTCTGTGGAATATTTTAATTTAACTGTATGTGACAATTGAGTTCAAACTACTGTTAATAACCAATATTTTATTAAAAATAGCTTAGTGTAAGGTGACACCTCCTAAAAATAGATAAATCATCATCACTTACATCTAGAGTTTTTTGTTGCAAGGTCACTGTGCATTCAACAAAATTTTTGCATTTCTTAATGGGGATGCAAGTGACTTCTCTACCAGCCACGATGGTTTGTAACCAACTTATGCCCAATCCTGAGACTTCTATTCCTGCTATTTTTACAGGCAAACTTCCTACTCTTGTAAAAGGTAATGTAAAAGGAGGTTTATGTTGAAACATTAATAAAGCACCATTTGGTTCTATTCGCTGTATGGTTCCTATCAATTCCTTTTTCTCTCTAATAAATCTATTGGGTACATCAGAAGGCTTTTTAAATTTACTAAACTGAAAAACATGAATTTAATTTCACTTAAAGTTAAATAATTAAATAGTAAAGTTGTTAATAATTACTTACTGGTCTAACTCTTCTTAGAGCAATGGTTAATCCTGTTAATGCAACTCCATAGCAACAAATCTAAGAAAGAATAAATTTTAATCTGTTTGCAAAAGCCAGGTGGTTGTTTATTAACTTACTTCTGCTCCTAAAGTATTTTTCTCCATAAACGTACAAAAACGATCGTAGGATTTTTGAATTTCTTCCTTCATTGTAAAAGATTGTTTGTTCAAATTCAACACAGGTACAGGTGGCAGTCACAATTATTTAAAATTTTCTCTAAATTTAAAAGTTACCTCACGTTTTGTTAAGCGTCAAAATAACTGTACACATTACAAATTGCTAAGTTATAGAAAATCTAAAAAGATAGTTTCTCAGACATAATAACATTAAAAAGTACTATTTCCTAAGTCATAACATGAAGTTGTTTTTGTTATATAAAATGGTGTATAAGAATTAAGACATTACTAACATATTACATCATAGATCGTCGTGGTTATAATAATTTAATAATAATAATAATAAGACGATATATGTTTTTCTAAAAAGTATTAAAGGGAATTTTAAAGAATGTTAAGAGAATTAGATAAAACATTAATAATAATCTTAAAAAAAATGCCAACGAATTTTTTTACAGGGATGTCCACTTTACACTACTTATTATACAATTCGCATTTATTCAGTTCATGCTCAAGCAATGCATACAAGATATGCTGATTAGTTTAAACCTTTAGAAATTCTTAGTACAATTTTGTATGATTGACCCACGATGCCTCCTGTGAATTGCTATATATAAACTGATAAAAGTCCTTATCTCTGTAAATTATTGGCAAATTTAAATTCGCACTACCACCCCCTCTCTTCACCGGATATCCGAATAATGCCGAGGTTTCTAAATCACTTCATTTTTATTTTAAATTTACAAAAAATATTATTGAAAGTACGGTGGGAACTTATAATTTGGATATTGAAAGTCTTATCACTTTATAAATAGATTCATACACTCCTGGCCACTTAACAAACTTTTGCATTTGTCATAGAATAAACTCTTTGATACTTTTGACACTACATTCTCTATATATCTATGAATGCTCTATGATTTTCTGTCGCCCTTGAAAAATACGATAAAAGAAAAGTATATATAAATGTATTTACTAAACAATAGAAAATTCAAATTTTTAATATAAGATCAGATTTTAGTTTATTATCATTTCCACTTGCGATGACTCCAGCATATATTTAGTTTGTGACAACTCGAAAAATCTCGGGAATTTTGAGATATTCAAAAATAAACGATTACAATCCTAAATAAAACCATTTTGGTAGAAATTTTTACAAGAAAGTATATGGCAACAATGACTAAAACAATGATTAATTAACGAGCAGTTGCAGCTGCTTTACCCCATAAATGTCTTTTCTAAAACTGAATTACGTCAGGGACTTATTTTTGTCTTTGTTTATTGAATATGTAATTGAGACAATATGCACTAACAATAAGAATTGAATTTGGTAAAAAAATACCAAAATCAAGCCAAACACCAGAGAGAGAGTATAATTTATATATTGCTTTTATTAGTATATATTAAGAAATTATATGATACTTTTGACTTCACTTCCGGCTTANAAGTTTAATATTACAAAGACTACTTAGTTACTATTCAATTATTAGTAAATAAGGAGTTGATGTTTCAAATTGGCATATTTTGCCTTGTTCAGCGATATCGAACGTTTTCTAATTGACATGACAACACAACCTTGTTTCTGATAACTGTCAAATAAAATTTATTTTGTTAAATTCTAGTAATTGAAAACGTAGTAATAAATGTAATTTTTGCATAGAATTGAATAATGATACCTGGAAATGCTGATCCTCGACGACCAGATAAAATACAAAGATATAAAGCTTCTGCTGCTGGAAATGGAGCTGCTCCTGGAGAAGACCTAACTCCAGATTACATGAATATTCTTGGTGAGTTTTAGATTAATACAAATTATTCACTATATAGTACAAACGGAAGTTATGGATTATTAGAGAAGATTTACATTTGAGATCTGCTTAATAATAAATAGTTGGATACATACATTCACCTCCAATACTTGGGGAGGCTTGTTTTTAAAATCAATATTGTATTTTATGCTTTAAACAGTTTATTGTGTGCCTTTCTCTGATACTTTTAAAACATAAAACTAACAGAAAATATCATGTAATCAAAATGAGAACATGCTTTTAAATTAATTTAACAAAGTACAGTGAGTATGTTCTTTAATATATGTTTTTCTGTTTTATTGCTTTCTATAATGCTACAGTACATTTTCTACAGTATTGTATATCTTTGTTTTTAATTTTGTGTAACTCTTATAGAATTATTTGATATACAGTGCTAATGCCTGATTCATATAAATATTAAATTATTATTACAGCGTTAATACATCTATCGGATCTTATTTCTAATAACACAGAAAAAGTCTAAATAGATTACTCAAGAGAAAATTTGTGAATGTAATTGTCAATTAAACTGATATTTTTTAATCAGTACATTGTTTGTGTTTAATAAATATGAGTCATTAGTATTTACATGTATAACTATCTATTCATTGTTCTCGTCACATTTTTGGACAGAAAGCTGTTTAATAAAGCAGCTGGCAGCAGTAGTAATAAAATTAATAATACGTGCTCCGTTGAAAATAATTAGAGATAAAAATATTTTTTACACTTGATAATTGTCAGTAAGAAAGTTCAGCTGTATCAAATTTTGTTTTGTTATAAGGAAAGGAGTTAACTATGTCAAAGTATAGGTTTACAAGGTAGTACCTATTTATTAAATATACTAACATACTGTTATTTGAACTGCTTATTGTGGATTTCGGTATTAATTACATGCTTTGTTGTTTCTAATTGATTGTACATGACAAGAAATTGTTAAATTTTATTAGTTCAGTTTGTTAGTTCAAGTCGTAAACGATCGTTTTTTCGTCTGTTCAGCAAAGTGTATATTAATGCAGATGGTAGTGTATTATAAGCCACCATGTTGAGTGACTGGGAATTTACTTTTCGGGGTTCACAGATAATTATCCTTAACCTTCCTAACAACCCTCTCGCTTCTGAAATGTCCCACGTTTATACTAAAATTATATTGGTGGTACATTAAAGTGTGCTACACCTTAATGTAACTTTTTACGAAGTCCAAAACTATATTTTAAAGAAATTGAAAATCTATTGTATTCTTAATTGTGTCTTACAGAAATTGAATATAATTCGATGTTATTTTCGCCGAAACAAAATGAATAGTATGTACGATCGTTAGGAATTGGATGCCGTGGAAGGTGGAAATGAAACTGGAATGAAATAAAAGATCTTGAAAAGTTTTTTCCCAAGTATCCCTAGATTTCCTTTAAAACATGTTGCTGTGAACCCTGGCATTTGATAATGATGATAATAAAGTGTAGTACATGTTGCATTCCTTCGTAGGTCCTGATCCGACCTCGGGAAATGCTGACGGCGACAGCAATACTACCACAGTTGAGCCGGTAAACATAAATGGTCCAATACAGCAACAACAACAACAACAACAACCACCACTACCACAGCAACAACAGCTACAAAAGTTACAACAAACCCACCGAAAAGAAGACGTATCGAAAAATACTACAGCAACTACCACAAATACGATAAACGTGATTCCTACGAGTCCTCAGTATGGTGTCGCTATAATACCTACTGCTATAACGACTGCAACCATACCAAACGATACTAGTACCACAACTGCTGTGTCCATGAACAATATTAATAGTAATAACACAAACGCGGTTGAGGGCGATATTAAAGACATGAACGCGACCCCGAACAAAAATGATCGTTTCAAGGTTGTGAAAATTGCTAGCGCTGAACCGTTTAGACGTGGCCGTTGGAAATGCATGGACTACGTGGATCAAGCACCGCCATCCTCTAATCAGTCAAAGACCTCGCAAGCGTCTACTGCGGCCTCCATAACCGGCAACGTGTACATGCAAACGCAGAGTTTACCACCCCAACAAATTCAACAGTTGTTGCTCCAGAGCGGTTTTAATACGACTTCTGTACCACAGTATTTCCAGGGTACCCAAGTTATACCACCACAGGCGCAATATTTTTATCAGGCCAATGTTCAACCCCAAACAATGCCAATGATGATCCCACAACCCCAATTCGTTACTGGCGGTCAGCAACAGCAGTACTTTCAACCAACCACTGTTATAACAACAGGATCGGTACCTGCTGGTTTTCAGGGAATGCAGTTCGTTCAACAACCGCAACAGAACAATAGCGCTTTTGTACCCACATCTCAGGGTGTACAGATACCGCAATCATTTGGGTCTCAGGCTGGGAGTAATAGTAACACTCCGGGTCAGACATTTGCCGATACGACAAATCAATCACAGCAGCAGCAGCAACCGATGGTTAATGGATATGCGTATCCCCAACCCCAAAACGAACAGCAACAACACCCTCAAATTATACCTCCTAATCAGGTGGCGAAAAATGTTATATTAAGTCATGTGCAAAATGTCGACGTGCAAGTAAACTCGGATATATCTCAGAATACAGCCAATGCATTTTCTGGGTCTGGCGTAACGACTGTCTTGCCTCAGACGCAGGGAGTCGTAATACAGACGGTGCCCGCCTACGACTCGAACGCCCCCACCAACATGTATACAAATCCACAATTTGTCGCAAGCGTAAATAGTTTGCCACCCCTCGAACAATCTTCGGACGACCAGAAGGACGCGGTAGCGACTACTGAAACAGGTGACGGAGGCGCTACGTCTACAACCGACGATCCCGCGAAAACGAATCCGGTGGTAAACGCGATTGATAACAAAATTGAACAGGCTATGGACCTAGTAAAGAGCCATCTAATGTATACCGTCCGCGAGGAGGTGGAAGTGCTTAAAGAAAAGATTGCAGAATTGATGGAACGGATACAGCAGCTCGAAACGGAAAATAACTTCCTTAGGTCACAAATTCCGAAGAATCAACAGCAGCAGCAACAACAGGGGACAAGTCAGAATGGAGGCACTGAGCCCTCACCACCTGTTGCATCATCCACGAACCCACCCACGCAGTAATTCAAGAATAATGATATCCCCTTGCCCAATAGACGATAAATATTTCTGCTGCTAGAAAGGTAGAGGACGCGTTTTTACGGTTGTTTTTAGTTTGACACGTTTTACGGAAACCGAAATCGAATTTAAAAAATAATTCTCAACTGAATTATTTTTACCAGCTTCAAAATTTTCATTCTTCTTTTCTTTGTTGATCGATAAACAGATTGTTTTTAATTTTTTACATATTCTATACCTTAGTTTTATATCAGTTACCTATACATGCATTGATACTAATGGTTTTTTTATTTGAAAAATATGGTTCACTTTCGTTTTTAATGCTTTAATATATTTTTGATGACGTTAAAATGAACCGAGATTGATTTAAACCATCGTGTCGTATTGCGTGAAACATTTGTTGAATGATAATCGTACTTCTGTAATAAAAAGAGTACTTACCATGTATACATACTTATAACAAAGTTTGTGTAGTTTAACAACTGAGTACTACCTACATAAATATGTATATTGTTTGTTAAACGCCGTGGTAGATGTAAAAAAAGAAAAGAAATATTTAATTCCGAAACTAAAGCTTTCTACAATATTTAGACCGAAGTGGTGAAACGTGTTTGCCTGTCTTTTTTGCGTGATAGTCGCTGAAAAAAAAGAAAGAAAACACTCTTGCATTTTTTTTTTATGTATTATTACAGTTTTTTAATATAAAAAATTTTAATCGTACATAGAATGCCACTTCAGTTTTTAAATTACCTACAAAGAAGAGCTTCAAGCAGGTACATTAGTTTTAGAAAATTAGTGTAAAAAGTGTGAATAAATTATAAAAGAAAATCATATACATAAATCTTCAAATGGATTCTTACACAGCTACTGAGGAAGAATATGAGCTACAGTATTACAAGTTTTCTGCTCACGATTTCATTGAACATTTTAAACATCTAATATCCACTGAATTACAATCACTACTGGATGAGTATGTAAACTTGGTTAAAATGACACTAAGCGCTGATATTTTTTCAAAATTGGAGAAGTTTAAAAATCACTTAATTGTTGTATGTAATCAAGAATTAGAAGAAGAGCTTAAATTTGCTGAAAACGCTATAAAGAAGTTTCTTTTAATTCCTAAAAATGTTCTCCTGCCTTATGACAAGTCTCAAAAAAGGCAGTATACAGAGAAAGAAGTCCAAGAACTTGAAAGTGAAGTAAAATATTTAGAAGAAGAGTGCATGAAAGAACAGTTAATGATACACTTGTGCAAATGTGAGAAAGAAATAATACATAAATTTGATGGTTGCAGGAACATTATGGAAAATGCTATTCTAAAAGTTTCTCAATTTGATATGAGTGACTTTAAAGAATTGTCAAAATTATCTTTAATTTATGAAGAATATAATAACTTCAAATCAGAAGAGGGCTAATTATATGAGGTAATTAGGCAATCATGTAAATTTGATGATATTATAAGACTTGTACACTACATCTATCGAATCATAAGATAAAAACATTGGAAAAGTATCTTTATTAGTAAGCTGTCTGCTATAAATGCTACATAAGTACTTTAAGATTTAAATAGCACCTTAAGTAAATCTAAAAACTGGCAACTTACAGGTTTTATATTTACAGCTACAAAACAAACATTTTAAATGACTAATAAAGCAAAATTAAATTTTTGGATTTCTGTTAAAAGCTATAACACAGCTGTTTTTGGAATTTTAGTTTTCCTTTGCGTTTGACTTTGTAGAGATGCATTTAATCTATGCAATATGTTAACTAGTGTTTTTTTGGCAGGTTTAATATAGTATTTTAGTCCCAAACGCTTCTTTAAGGCACGTATTTCGGCAGATTGTAAAATTCCAAAATATTTCGCAAGGAAAGGGTCTTCAACTGCAGGCATTTTCTCAGCGGATTTTTCTAAAGACGCAAAATTCACTGCTACTAGGGATTCCCCAACATTCATTATTCGCAACTTACCCTAGAAATTATGTAATTAATAAAAATTTGTAAATTTTAAATTGCTAGCACAATCAATAAAACTTATAAAATGCACTGTTGAATCGAATTGCATTTTAAAATAAGCCTAACCAGTATTAAATTTTAAATAATAATAGTACAATGAAGTATTATTGAAGAAATTCAAAGGACATTTTAGAACAGAATCAGAAACTGTATTTGTTAATTTACATTTTATATTAATAGTTACACAGAAGATTTAATTAGGTAAAAGTAGGAGAGTAGAGGATGCTATAGTAGTTAATAAGGAAAAGGAGTGATCAAATTGAAGGGCATCCGAGACATGAAAGGCTGGTTAGAAACATATTATATGCAGAAACAGGAGTAAAGAGAGACAAGAAGAGGGAAAACAGAATAGTAAGGAGTGAAGCTACATATTCAACCAGTCTTCAAACTGGATCTCTGGAGAGTCAATAGTTATTCAATATTTAAAAGAAGAATCAATTTAAAATTTTTTACACATTATTACTCTCTTGTAAAAAGATGTCAGCTTCTCCTGATAAATTTTCTGTGGAATATTTTAATTTAACTGTATGTGACAATTGAGTTCAAACTACTGTTAATAACCAATATTTTATTAAAAATAGCTTAGTGTAAGGTGACACCTCCTAAAAATAGATAAATCATCATCACTTACATCTAGAGTTTTTTGTTGCAAGGTCACTGTGCATTCAACAAAATTTTTGCATTTCTTAATGGGGATGCAAGTGACTTCTCTACCAGCCACGATGGTTTGTAACCAACTTATGCCCAATCCTGAGACTTCTATTCCTGCTATTTTTACAGGCAAACTTCCTACTCTTGTAAAAGGTAATGTAAAAGGAGGTTTATGTTGAAACATTAATAAAGCACCATTTGGTTCTATTCGCTGTATGGTTCCTATCAATTCCTTTTTCTCTCTAATAAATCTATTGGGTACATCAGAAGGCTTTTTAAATTTACTAAACTGAAAAACATGAATTTAATTTCACTTAAAGTTAAATAATTAAATAGTAAAGTTGTTAATAATTACTTACTGGTCTAACTCTTCTTAGAGCAATGGTTAATCCTGTTAATGCAACTCCATAGCAACAAATCTAAGAAAGAATAAATTTTAATCTGTTTGCAAAAGCCAGGTGGTTGTTTATTAACTTACTTCTGCTCCTAAAGTATTTTTCTCCATAAACGTACAAAAACGATCGTAGGATTTTTGAATTTCTTCCTTCATTGTAAAAGATTGTTTGTTCAAATTCAACACAGGTACAGGTGGCAGTCACAATTATTTAAAATTTTCTCTAAATTTAAAAGTTACCTCACGTTTTGTTAAGCGTCAAAATAACTGTACACATTACAAATTGCTAAGTTATAGAAAATCTAAAAAGATAGTTTCTCAGACATAATAACATTAAAAAGTACTATTTCCTAAGTCATAACATGAAGTTGTTTTTGTTATATAAAATGGTGTATAAGAATTAAGACATTACTAACATATTACATCATAGATCGTCGTGGTTATAATAATTTAATAATAATAATAATAAGACGATATATGTTTTTCTAAAAAGTATTAAAGGGAATTTTAAAGAATGTTAAGAGAATTAGATAAAACATTAATAATAATCTTAAAAAAAATGCCAACGAATTTTTTTACAGGGATGTCCACTTTACACTACTTATTATACAATTCGCATTTATTCAGTTCATGCTCAAGCAATGCATACAAGATATGCTGATTAGTTTAAACCTTTAGAAATTCTTAGTACAATTTTGTATGATTGACCCACGATGCCTCCTGTGAATTGCTATATATAAACTGATAAAAGTCCTTATCTCTGTAAATTATTGGCAAATTTAAATTCGCACTACCACCCCCTCTCTTCACCGGATATCCGAATAATGCCGAGGTTTCTAAATCACTTCATTTTTATTTTAAATTTACAAAAAATATTATTGAAAGTACGGTGGGAACTTATAATTTGGATATTGAAAGTCTTATCACTTTATAAATAGATTCATACACTCCTGGCCACTTAACAAACTTTTGCATTTGTCATAGAATAAACTCTTTGATACTTTTGACACTACATTCTCTATATATCTATGAATGCTCTATGATTTTCTGTCGCCATTTGTGAGTATCTGTTGTATGTCGTTATAATTTATTCGACTTTTTTTGGTAAGTAAAAGAAATAATTTATCTCAAGTTTAATATTACAAAGACTACTTAGTTACTATTCAATTATTAGTAAATAAGGAGTTGATGTTTCAAATTGGCATATTTTGCCTTGTTCAGCGATATCGAACGTTTTCTAATTGACATGACAACACAACCTTGTTTCTGATAACTGTCAAATAAAATTTATTTTGTTAAATTCTAGTAATTGAAAACGTAGTAATAAATGTAATTTTTGCATAGAATTGAATAATGATACCTGGAAATGCTGATCCTCGACGACCAGATAAAATACAAAGATATAAAGCTTCTGCTGCTGGAAATGGAGCTGCTCCTGGAGAAGACCTAACTCCAGATTACATGAATATTCTTGGTGAGTTTTAGATTAATACAAATTATTCACTATATAGTACAAACGGAAGTTATGGATTATTAGAGAAGATTTACATTTGAGATCTGCTTAATAATAAATAGTTGGATACATACATTCACCTCCAATACTTGGGGAGGCTTGTTTTTAAAATCAATATTGTATTTTATGCTTTAAACAGTTTATTGTGTGCCTTTCTCTGATACTTTTAAAACATAAAACTAACAGAAAATATCATGTAATCAAAATGAGAACATGCTTTTAAATTAATTTAACAAAGTACAGTGAGTATGTTCTTTAATATATGTTTTTCTGTTTTATTGCTTTCTATAATGCTACAGTACATTTTCTACAGTATTGTATATCTTTGTTTTTAATTTTGTGTAACTCTTATAGAATTATTTGATATACAGTGCTAATGCCTGATTCATATAAATATTAAATTATTATTACAGCGTTAATACATCTATCGGATCTTATTTCTAATAACACAGAAAAAGTCTAAATAGATTACTCAAGAGAAAATTTGTGAATGTAATTGTCAATTAAACTGATATTTTTTAATCAGTACATTGTTTGTGTTTAATAAATATGAGTCATTAGTATTTACATGTATAACTATCTATTCATTGTTCTCGTCACATTTTTGGACAGAAAGCTGTTTAATAAAGCAGCTGGCAGCAGTAGTAATAAAATTAATAATACGTGCTCCGTTGAAAATAATTAGAGATAAAAATATTTTTTACACTTGATAATTGTCAGTAAGAAAGTTCAGCTGTATCAAATTTTGTTTTGTTATAAGGAAAGGAGTTAACTATGTCAAAGTATAGGTTTACAAGGTAGNGATAAAAATATTTTTTACACTTGATAATTGTCAGTAAGAAAGTTCAGCTGTATCAAATTTTGTTTTGTTATAAGGAAAGGAGTTAACTATGTCAAAGTATAGGTTTACAAGGTAGTACCTATTTATTAAATATACTAACATACTGTTATTTGAACTGCTTATTGTGGATTTCGGTATTAATTACATGCTTTGTTGTTTCTAATTGATTGTACATGACAAGAAATTGTTAAATTTTATTAGTTCAGTTTGTTAGTTCAAGTCGTAAACGATCGTTTTTTCGTCTGTTCAGCAAAGTGTATATTAATGCAGATGGTAGTGTATTATAAGCCACCATGTTGAGTGACTGGGAATTTACTTTTCGGGGTTCACAGATAATTATCCTTAACCTTCCTAACAACCCTCTCGCTTCTGAAATGTCCCACGTTTATACTAAAATTATATTGGTGGTACATTAAAGTGTGCTACACCTTAATGTAACTTTTTACGAAGTCCAAAACTATATTTTAAAGAAATTGAAAATCTATTGTATTCTTAATTGTGTCTTACAGAAATTGAATATAATTCGATGTTATTTTCGCCGAAACAAAATGAATAGTATGTACGATCGTTAGGAATTGGATGCCGTGGAAGGTGGAAATGAAACTGGAATGAAATAAAAGATCTTGAAAAGTTTTTTCCCAAGTATCCCTAGATTTCCTTTAAAACATGTTGCTGTGAACCCTGGCATTTGATAATGATGATAATAAAGTGTAGTACATGTTGCATTCCTTCGTAGGTCCTGATCCGACCTCGGGAAATGCTGACGGCGACAGCAATACTACCACAGTTGAGCCGGTAAACATAAATGGTCCAATACAGCAACAACAACAACAACAACAACCACCACTACCACAGCAACAACAGCTACAAAAGTTACAACAAACCCACCGAAAAGAAGACGTATCGAAAAATACTACAGCAACTACCACAAATACGATAAACGTGATTCCTACGAGTCCTCAGTATGGTGTCGCTATAATACCTACTGCTATAACGACTGCAACCATACCAAACGATACTAGTACCACAACTGCTGTGTCCATGAACAATATTAATAGTAATAACACAAACGCGGTTGAGGGCGATATTAAAGACATGAACGCGACCCCGAACAAAAATGATCGTTTCAAGGTTGTGAAAATTGCTAGCGCTGAACCGTTTAGACGTGGCCGTTGGAAATGCATGGACTACGTGGATCAAGCACCGCCATCCTCTAATCAGTCAAAGACCTCGCAAGCGTCTACTGCGGCCTCCATAACCGGCAACGTGTACATGCAAACGCAGAGTTTACCACCCCAACAAATTCAACAGTTGTTGCTCCAGAGCGGTTTTAATACGACTTCTGTACCACAGTATTTCCAGGGTACCCAAGTTATACCACCACAGGCGCAATATTTTTATCAGGCCAATGTTCAACCCCAAACAATGCCAATGATGATCCCACAACCCCAATTCGTTACTGGCGGTCAGCAACAGCAGTACTTTCAACCAACCACTGTTATAACAACAGGATCGGTACCTGCTGGTTTTCAGGGAATGCAGTTCGTTCAACAACCGCAACAGAACAATAGCGCTTTTGTACCCACATCTCAGGGTGTACAGATACCGCAATCATTTGGGTCTCAGGCTGGGAGTAATAGTAACACTCCGGGTCAGACATTTGCCGATACGACAAATCAATCACAGCAGCAGCAGCAACCGATGGTTAATGGATATGCGTATCCCCAACCCCAAAACGAACAGCAACAACACCCTCAAATTATACCTCCTAATCAGGTGGCGAAAAATGTTATATTAAGTCATGTGCAAAATGTCGACGTGCAAGTAAACTCGGATATATCTCAGAATACAGCCAATGCATTTTCTGGGTCTGGCGTAACGACTGTCTTGCCTCAGACGCAGGGAGTCGTAATACAGACGGTGCCCGCCTACGACTCGAACGCCCCCACCAACATGTATACAAATCCACAATTTGTCGCAAGCGTAAATAGTTTGCCACCCCTCGAACAATCTTCGGACGACCAGAAGGACGCGGTAGCGACTACTGAAACAGGTGACGGAGGCGCTACGTCTACAACCGACGATCCCGCGAAAACGAATCCGGTGGTAAACGCGATTGATAACAAAATTGAACAGGCTATGGACCTAGTAAAGAGCCATCTAATGTATACCGTCCGCGAGGAGGTGGAAGTGCTTAAAGAAAAGATTGCAGAATTGATGGAACGGATACAGCAGCTCGAAACGGAAAATAACTTCCTTAGGTCACAAATTCCGAAGAATCAACAGCAGCAGCAACAACAGGGGACAAGTCAGAATGGAGGCACTGAGCCCTCACCACCTGTTGCATCATCCACGAACCCACCCACGCAGTAATTCAAGAATAATGATATCCCCTTGCCCAATAGACGATAAATATTTCTGCTGCTAGAAAGGTAGAGGACGCGTTTTTACGGTTGTTTTTAGTTTGACACGTTTTACGGAAACCGAAATCGAATTTAAAAAATAATTCTCAACTGAATTATTTTTACCAGCTTCAAAATTTTCATTCTTCTTTTCTTTGTTGATCGATAAACAGATTGTTTTTAATTTTTTACATATTCTATACCTTAGTTTTATATCAGTTACCTATACATGCATTGATACTAATGGTTTTTTTATTTGAAAAATATGGTTCACTTTCGTTTTTAATGCTTTAATATATTTTTGATGACGTTAAAATGAACCGAGATTGATTTAAACCATCGTGTCGTATTGCGTGAAACATTTGTTGAATGATAATCGTACTTCTGTAATAAAAAGAGTACTTACCATGTATACATACTTATAACAAAGTTTGTGTAGTTTAACAACTGAGTACTACCTACATAAATATGTATATTGTTTGTTAAACGCCGTGGTAGATGTAAAAAAAGAAAAGAAATATTTAATTCCGAAACTAAAGCTTTCTACAATATTTAGACCGAAGTGGTGAAACGTGTTTGCCTGTCTTTTTTGCGTGATAGTCGCTGAAAAAAAAGAAAGAAAACACTCTTGCATTTTTTTTTTATGTATTATTACAGTTTTTTAATATAAAAAATTTTAATCGTACATAGAATGCCACTTCAGTTTTTAAAGTTCCTCTTTTTTAATTTTGTTATACCTGCGAGCTAATGAAAATGTAAGCGTGTTCTTCTTTTGTGTGTAGTGTAAGTAACTTATGAAAGAGTATAATTTATATTGTAAGTTTGTATTTTTATTATAAATTAATTTAGTCGGCTCAACGATAGAAATTCTATTTATATTTGTCAATTTTTTGTTGACATTGCGTTTATCTATCTTTTTTCGAAAGAGGATTCATAATATTGAAGTCATACATAATGTAATGACGATGAATCGTAGACTGACTTCATAATGATTTAAAAAGAGTATAGGAATAACGCCTGCTAAAATCGATTTCTGCTAATAATTATAATTGGTAATAAGTGGACTAATTTTATGTAATGTAGTATAATTAACAGCATTGTGGGAATCATATTCACTTGTTACTTTTTGTTTTTCTATATTAATGATATTTTTGATAGTTTTAATTAACTATTAATTGAATTGAATACTTTAATTATTATACAACCCAAATGCTGTTTGTAGTCGATGTATTTCTAATTGGATCGTAATTAAGGTCTCTATATTTTTCAGCGTTTTTTTATAGCGTTTACGAATATAGATCGAAATTTTTGAAAGTCAGTCAATAGCAATACATATATCTTGAAATTGAAGATACTTCTGTTCAATGGAATAATACTAAAATAAATTTTTAAAGTTTCAGAATTTTTACAAAATTTGAATCTCATACGTGCAAAATAACGTTGGAAATATGTAAATGACCTGTGAATTGTAAATTGTGTAAATTATATTAGAAATATGGAGTGTAGCATAGCCAAATTGATAGTTTGGTGCTAATCAAAACTGTGATGGTATATAGATTTCGCTTCAAAATTTAAGTTTAGATAGAAGCAGATTATTGTTTGAAGATTCTAAGATAATTTTTTTCTCATCTCTCTGTAATCACTTACTATTTACTTGCGTAAACTTATGCATGTTTTGAATTTAAAACAGAACATTATTTTTTTTTCAAACGAATGGGTGTGTTTTTCTTTCACAAATTGTTTTCTTGAAATAGTGAAATAGTCGTTTCTCCTAAGTGTAACAGTGGTATATAAGATAAACTATCTAGTACCATTTTGCATAGTACTCAACTATTGTAGATGACGAGTAACTAATTGAAATTTTAGACAATTCAGTTCTTATTAATAAAAAGGGCACTAACAGGATGTTGTTTGAAAAGTTACGTTTCAGATGTGAAGTAAGTGTTTTTTTTTTCTATGTAAAAACTTATGGCTGTGTCGTACTTGAGAAAAACGTTATCCAAGAAGTGTTAGTCTGTATTATTGCTAAGTTTAAAACAGAGTGTAATTTTGTTTATTGATTTCTTAAATAATATTTTATCACACCTATAGGTCGTTTCAAAAGTATACATAAATGTAATTTCAATAAATAGAGCTCATATTATAACTTTTATTACAGCAACGACTTATTTACACCAAATTCCTATTCTTCTCCTTTTCACCCTTTTTATTATCTAAGTCTTTTATAAACATATTCGTAAAAGGGTTAAGAATAAATTCGAACTTTAAATTGTTTGTATTCGACGTATAAAATTTAATTTCAAATAATTATCTGAGAAAAGGCACACATGTTTATATAATGCATAAATACATAAGAAAATTGTTTATTTTTTTGTGAAACATCAACTAAATTTAATAATTGTCATAAAAAATGTAATATTGTAAATGAGCCCAATATAAGATTAAAATTATTGTTTTAGGCATGATTTTTAGCATGTGTGGACTAATGATGCGTTTAAAATGGTGCGCCTGGGTAGCCCTTTACTGCTCCTGTATAAGTTTTGCCAACACCAAGCTTTCAGATGATGCGAAACAGGTAGGCATTTATGTAATTTTAATAATTTCGGGGAATTGGTAATTACATTTATTATAAAATAAACCCACTACTTAGCGAGTATTGTAAATTTAAGCATCAACAACAGGCTTTTCCTAATATACGAGATTTAAGCGTAAGTTTTGAAAGTTTTCCAACATTTTTTAGATATTAAGCTCGTTTATGTTGTCCATTTCTGCTGTTGTTATGTCATATCTCCAGAATCCTCAGCCTATGACTCCTCCATGGTCGTCTACTGCAACTAATTAGAAATGATGGAAATAAATGATAAAACGGTATTGAAAACGAACCAATTAATGTAAAAGTTGTTTTTAGTTT